AAGAAACGATGTGCCTACTTGCCGAGGTGTTTCCTCACCCGCAAAATCTCATGAACCCATGTACGGAGAGTCTGTGCTCTCATGTTTCAGCCTCCTCTTCATGCAGAGCAAGGGCCAGAGCAAGTAGGCCTACATAATTTGTGGTGACATTTTTACATTCAGTAAAATTAGGCAAGTAGGCAACTCTACTTGCAGCACATCACCTCCACGGAAATTATGTATCATAGCAACCACAGCGTCTGGGGAAAAAAAAACACTATACCTCCAAAATGCACCCTAGCGCTCCCAGCTAGGCGTTTTCAGAAGAACAGGTGGCGTTTTCAGCTGGCAAAAAAACGCTTTGGTGGACACAGGCCCTAACTCACGCAATACACACCCATTATAAACTCAGAAAAGAGCTCTAAAAAGCATAAAACTTCGAGAGCAAGTCTGTAGCTGAAAGTATGCTGAACTGGTGAGCTTTTAAAGTGGAGAAGGTATGAGATGGATTCTGACAGTCTCTCTATTCACTTACAATGGGAGAATTTTCCTAGAAAACCTTGAATATTTTGAAAAGTATTCAAGGTATCAATGACAAAAGTAATAGCACCCCATTCCTCATTGAGCATGACAACTTGGAGTTTGAACACACAGTTTTTGACCTACGTCAAAAGCTGTGTGTTCAAAGACTAGTTGAACACACAGCTAGTGACACAGCTAGGGACTAGTTAGCGGACAAAAAAACGTGACGGAACAATAATAAAGGCTAGCAATCACATAGGATGCGAATGCTTGCAGCATTCACACCCAGTAATAATTATACTGTCAGACTGTGAATTTGTTAGAAAGTAAGTCAGACACTGTTTCTGAATTCCATCAAGTGGAACTCAGGACTTGAAAAAGAATACAAGAACAAAGAGAACATTGCCATGCAGAATTGAAATACTACTACCACACTAGATACTAATTCCCTACTTAAAGCTGGAATGCAGGACTTTTACATAAAAATTAACATCTGTTACAATCAAGCCCTAGCCAAATTCACACAATTCAGAGTTCACACAATGCAAATTAAGCCATCAGGTAAAGTCGAGCCTATGGCGCAAGCTACACACGCAGCCACGCAGCCTTGAGCATTTATACTTGTGTGTGTGTGTCTGTGTCACTCTGCAATTACACCACCAAAATGCTAGTTGGCAGTGAAGTTTCCATGTTCCCTTGTGTTGACTTCTGCTGTTTGAGATGTCTAACTTCCAGTTTATCCCTCCATCAACTTGAATGGGGGTAAAATGTCTCTAACCAAATTAAAGGTAATTTGCTATGACTAGTATGATGTATTTAAACCTTAATTCATGTAATTTGGTCAGGTGTTTTTGCAGGGGATTTAAACAACAACGGTCCACTGTGGTAATGCACTATGGGACGGCACTTAAGAGACTGCAGATTTATCAACATATCTGTGCTGCTGCAGATATTTATTTAACTGAAGAAGCAGTTTTTTATTCAATATAAAGTAGCTGTGGAAATAGGCACAGTAAGAATCAAATATTCATTTATAGATGCATTTATAAATGCAAACCGACTTACAGACGTTGCTGATTTAACAAAATTAAATGTTATTTTTTGATGCTGCTTTAAACATCTACTGTCAGGGCAGTGTTCAATCAAAATTTATCAGTCAATGAGCTAATTACATTTATATCAGCATTGGCATTTATAACAGCCGATATATGACTATTAAAAAGAAACAGAGCAGATCCTTCATTCATGTCATGGTTGTTGCACGGTTCGCCCACCAGAGGGTGCTCTGCAGCTCCACTGTTCAAAATAGTGCCACACCACAAAAAACACAAAACAAAACAATCAGCTGACCGGACTCTGCTGGAGCATGCAGAAACAATGAAGGAAAGTGGCTGTGTTACCTTGTTAAAAGTATGTTGATCATTTGTCACGTTAATTACATGACTTTAAGAGGTGGTATTATACTCATTTCAGGTTCAAAACCTTGATTAGGGGTTGTACCAGAACAGGTTTACATGGTTTAATTTTCAAAAAACACCATATTTTTGTCATACTGTACATTGCTGAAGCTCCTCTTTTCACCCTATGTGTTGTACGCTCCGCTCTTGAGCTACAGAGTGATGCATCTTACTTTGGAGTTGCACATGCGCAGTTCCAAGGTATGGACTACTAGCCAATCAGAAGCAGAGAAGGGCGGGTCCTAAGAAACAAGGTAGTGTGATCCAAATCAAAGCCGCTACAGACTGTGACCGTAACCTAGCACATAACATCATTGTTCCACATCTTACCATAAACCACTACAAAAATCACCATATTTCAACTCAATTTTACATAAAAATTGGCCAAACAATTTGAACTCAGTAGCTTTCACATCAGGTGTAACATTAGCATTATAGTTATAACTTTAGCTGCGTTTACAACAACTCCGCACTTTAACAGTCTGTGAAGTTCCATTGCCGTGTTTATTTTAAATATAATTCACAACCAATAAAGCATACTTACAGGTTGTGATTGTGAATTTCCAGGCCCAAACAGAATCGGAGTTGCATCGTCTTTTAGAACTAAACGTTGAACTGTTGACGGTGTTCTGACATTCTATCGCAAATCGATAGACTCGACTCTACTCGGCCCTGCTCTGTTTTCCATTGCAGATAGTACCCAGAGATAGTATGTAGCTTGTCGTCATAGCGACGCCACACACAACTGCCGCGACGTAATGTTCAATGCGACACACACACCAGCGATCCACACAGCTTTGTCTTTTTTAAGTTAAAACGTTTCAACCTTCCTCAGAATGTAAAGACAGATAAGCGGTATGAAAACCTTCCAGCTGTGTTTTCCTCTGCCGTTGTTGCTGCAGCGGTCTGTGTGACGGCGGGAGCAGAGGGCTCTGTGAGCGGGCGGCTGGCTGGCCTCACACGCTCCTCAAGTGGCACAGGTATCCCCCGCAGCCACTTGCGGAGCTCCTCAACATTTTTGTTCAGCTATCACTTCTCGTAAAACTGTCAATATTCGAAATCTACACAGCTGATTTCTCACCTCAAAACTTCTCAGAAGTGGATTTAGTGATGAAATTCCATACGAAAACTATAAAATATAAAACTAATATTCTCTCTGACCAATCAGCAGTCTGTCATGTTTTCACGTGACATTTTAGTATCCCTCAGCTCGCTTGGAACCTCGACGGAGGTGAGGTGATATGAAAAAAAGTACCTGGAAGCAGGTACAGGTACAACATTTCTACAATGGAAAACCAAACAAAGGCGAGTCGAGCCAAAGGGCCTCCGCTCAGACTAACTTGGTTTGAGGGCGTGCCTGACCCCCGCTAGCCGCTTGGCAAGCTTTATGACGTGTTTTCATTGTGACGTCACAAGTAAAGGAAGTGAAGGGCTGGACTACAAACGAGCTGTTTTCAAGCAGTCCAGAGCAGAGCTTTCTGTGGGAGATGGGGACTCCCTTTGGGCTGGACTTTGGGCTTTTTCACTTTGCAAACCTGTTACATGCACAAAAAAGATATATAACTCAATAAAGGGGGGGGGGGGGGGGGGGGTGAAAAGCCAAAAAGCAGATTACCACCTCTTTAAATAATAATAAAAATAGCCCTCATTACTTCTCCTCTACATGGCTATACTTGCTAACCGTCCCGTTTTTCATTGCCCTCTCCCAGCTTCCTCCAGACTCACGGCAGTGTGTTAAATGTTACAGTAGAGTTGAGTGGTGGAGGTTACGCTGTTGACAGACATTTCTGAAAGAGTGTGGCAGTTCTGATGAACAGTCCTCTCATTTCTCCCTAGTTCATCACTTCTAAACATCACTTACAGCAGCTAACGCTGCCCGTTGCTAGCCACAAAGTTAGCTAATGCCATGTTAATCAGTGGAGGAGCACTAAGAGCAAATGAGCGGTTAAACTATAATGTTTAATGTATTCTTGTATATAAATATCTGCGACCCACTTGTCTGTAGATCCATTCGGTGCATCAGAAATTATTCAACCAGAGGGGACATGTAAATAAACGTGAGCTGAACAAGTATATAACATGGCTTTCTGCCAGACAAAGTTATCTAGCTCCTCTTTCAAATGTGAAACGTTTTAGTTATACTGATCTGAATCTTAAAGCTGCAAGTCCTCGTTGTAGACAGTCATGTAGTATTAGATGCATTCAACAGCAGGTCACTGTATTGTAGACTGCATGTTTTAGAGTCAGATGGTGGTTGAGAAATGGTTTCTCGTAGCTTTGGACAGAATTCAAGAGTGCTGGTAAAGAGATAAACTAAATGTGAATATGCTACATTAAAAGCAGTCATTACGACAGGTTATGTCTAAGTTAAAATATACATGCTTATTCTCTCTCACTCTGTTTACAGATGGCTGAAAAAGTTGCACCTTCTAGCAGCAAATATTTATTGATGTGCAATTGTTTAAATGTTAAGTTGTTGACACTGTAATCTATTTTATTAATATAATCCATTCAGGAAGAGGTATTACAGCCCGCATATAGAACAGCTTTCAATATCGGCCTGTTCTTAGTGTAATTTATACAGGAAAGGGGTCTACTATCCAAATCATTTTCAAAATCAAAATATCTGATCATCAGTCAGCTCTTTTTCACTTTAATATCGACATCGGCCCCCAAAAACCCATATCGGTCAGCCTCTAGTTAGAATGGTTTGGGTTACTGCTGGTTTAGGGTGACTGTTAGTGTAAGGCATGTAGGTTAGGGTTAGAGGCTAGGGATGCCTTATGTCAACTATGAGTGTGTGTGTGTGTGTGTGTGAGTGTGAGAGAGAGAGAGTAAGAATGAGACAGAGAAAGTGAAGTGAAGCAGAGTGTGTTTGAATGTCATGTTCAGTAGTTCCTGAAAAGACGGTTCGAGTGCTACTTCTATCTCAAAAGGGGGTCACCACATGTTCTAAAATGATTTTACAACTGATACAGACACACACACACAGATATGTATGTGTGTTGTGTGGGAAAGAATGAGAGACATAGTGGTACTCACCCACAGTATCACAGGGTTCATCTTTATAAACACAGAAATCTGTCCTGAAAGAAAAACAAGAACAAGTGAACTCAGTCACTCTCTCACCATATTTTATTATTTTACTGAAAGTAGGCAATCATTCATATAGAACCCATCCACACTTTGGGTCTCTGCTTAAAGCTGGAGTGCAAGAATTTAAAATATAAATTAATGTCTATTACATCCAAGCAAAGGTAACAGACGTTCAAGTTCACAAAATGCAGATTAAGCCTATCAGGTAAATCTCTCTTTATTTCGCAGTATACCAGAGTTTCTAAATCTGGTGTCTGTGGTAACACTCCTGTGCTGGGGCTACTGATAATGACATTTTTTAAGTCAACCAGCAATGATTGGTTTGCCAGGGGCAACCCAGAGCCATGTAGAGAGCTCCACGATCCGCCATGCTGTCCATTGCAGGTCCATTAGGGAGAATGCTTATTATTGAGAATTGTTTATTTATGTTTGTTGTGATTGTTTGAGTTAATATGCTTTGACAACGTTGTATTGTATACAGCCATACCAATAAAGCCACTGAACTTAAACTGAACAATGATGATGCAACTCTCTCTCCACATGGCTTTGGAGTAACCGTAGCAATGGACTAGCTAGAGCAGCTAGGTGTATGGCACAGCCTCTGGTGGGAAAAACCTAAGAAGCGTCCAGGAAAAGTTTCTGATGCTCCAGATAAAAAGAAACGAAGGAAACGAAGAAAAAGAAGGATTACAGTCAAACACAGATAACTATTGCCTCGTTGGAGAGTACTGAGAGAAGAGAAAGACTGAGGGCAGACATGATGTTGAGTAACTGGTGGTGAATAGATTGGTATTTGTAAAATATTTGGAGCAGGCTGTTACATTAACTCTACCTATACCTAAATAATGGATTAAAGTGTTAGAACTGTGGAAATGTCTCTGTATTTTTGTAACTATTCCTGTGGTCTAATTCTGTCCTGCTGGGCTCTTACACTAGAGACACAGAGTTTGGACCCAGATGCATACATGGAAACTGAACAGGTACAAAGTGAAGGTGTTTATCTGCAAAAATGGTGAAACTTACAGATGAGATGAAATGAAGTAGGCATTCCATAACAGGTGAGTTGTCCATATGTCCAAACAGAAAGTATAAATCCAAACAAATGCAACAGGATCACAAGGTGATATTCTACAGACAAACAGTTACGAACAAAAAATCGGCCCTGGCATTTTTGGCTGAGGCGGCCCACCAAAATCAGTCGGACACCCCTGACTAATACACCATCCTTCCATTTGAGGGCTCAGATTAGGGGTGTGATGAAACACTGCGACGTAACATTTGCACAAGATTGATGTGCATGACGACAAGAATATATTGTAATAGACCTACTATTTCAAAAAAATATTTCTACACAAATTATTTGATTTGATTTGTATGCCAGATTACCAATCCAATCCTGATTGACCTACCCTTCTCTGCTTCTGATTGGCTAGTAGTCCTTAACTAGGAACTGCACATGTGCAACTCCCAAAAAAGATCATTTAGAGACAAGATGTATCACTCCATAGCTAAAACAAAGCCTTCAACACAGGATGAAAAGAGGAGCTGCAGCAATGTGCAGTATGAGAAATATATGGTGTTTTTTGAAAATTAAACCATGTAAACCTGTTCTGGAACAACCCCTAAATAAGATTTTGAACCTGAAAATGAGCATAATACCACCTCTTTAAAAATTGATAGATTATCTTGGACAAATTTGTGCAATGGTGTTCATGATCGTCAGCAATCCTTTCTCTAGCGCAGATCATGTTTTGATTCAGACTGTGCAGGAACAGAAGGGTCTATTCACAGACGGGACTGTTGTGAATGTGTTTGCGAGAGAGAGAGAGAGACAGAGAGAGAGAGCAAGAAAGAAGAGGTGCTCGCAACACTACAATCAAATATGATTTTATCCATTTTTAAATAGTAGTCAAAAAAAGATTTTGAAAATCAATGTATGGGAAACACTGGAGATGCTCCCTTCCACTTATATTTAATTCAGAGTCGAGGTTGTCCCGTTGTTCCATTCAAACGAATGAATGGGCTGCTTTTGTTCACACAGGGGTCTACTTGTCCTGTACACAGCCTTAGGCTCAATCCACACTACTCCGTTTTTGTTTAAAAACAGAGTTTTAAAACTAATACGATCTCCGTCTACAGCAGCCTTTTAGCTGCATATCAGAGTTGATTCTCATCTACATTAAAACGACTGAAAACGCACATCTAGTGCACTGGACACTGGGCATGTGCGTGCCGGTGTAAACAGGAAGCAGATGGTCTATTCCGTAGTTACAGAAGATTTGGCTAAAGAATAAATAAAAACAGATGAAGAACACCACCAGTACAAGTGTGGGCTTTAATACCAAGTCAAAAACTCTGTCAGCAGCATTGTGTTCCTGCTTTGCATGACTTATAAGACCCAATCAGAGAGCCAAATGTGATGTCATCGTTTCTAAAGTTCTTTGTTTTTGCCCGTCCACACTAAAACTCTGAGTTTTAAAACGAAAAACGGGGGTCGGCAGCGTTTTCAAACTTAGTCTGGTCTTAGTCTGGACGGGACATGCAAACGTAGCAAAAGGTCTCTGTTTTAGAACAAAAACGTAGTAGTGGGAATGTGGTCTTAGAGGCACCACAACATACTTAACGGCTTTACTCTGCTGAGATCTAGAGGAACTGGCCTTGGTTATCAGTCCATTCATCTATATGTATTGCCAAATGATAGTGCTAGTGCATAATTTTCAAGTAAAGGAGGGAGAAGAATATAAGATTTAACCATGTTTAACTGTTAGATAATGCTCTGGAAAGGCCAGGTGTGGAGGGAAAACTGTGGAGTCAACATTTAAAGCAGCAGGTTTTAATCACCATAGGCAGCGCTAGCACTACAGCGACAACAATGGAGAAGCAGATGTTCCCACTGACATGTCGAAGTACTCAGCTGGATGTGAACACCTGCAAGTGGAAACTGGACCCTAACAACACCTGAGGCCTGTCCTGCAAAGCAGGATTTGGGGTTAGCGAGGTAACTTAAGGTCAAACCCTGGGTTTTAAGAGTGGGTCGTCCACTTCTTAGATCTTACAAGCTTCTTACAAGATTACTTGCGTAATCAGTGGAATTATTGGACATTTTGGTGAAGGGCTCTCTCGCTGTCGTTTACGCTGTGAAATGCTGCAGGAGAGGAAAAAGAGCCAGGTCACTTGTGCGTCTTCACCGGGGGGGAATCCACAAACCGCTACCGGCAATATTTCTCTTTAACATGCGCTCACTGTGCAACAAACTGGTCGAACTTCAGCTTCTGGTGGGGAAAAACTGTTCATCTTCTGTTCTGTGCCTCACAGAGACGTGGCTGTGTGGATCAATACCGGACTCCGTGCTGCAGCTGGCAGGCTTCCAACTGTACAGAGCGGACCGTGACACAGAACTCTCCAGCAAAACAAAAGGTGGAGGCTTTAACAAAAGACTTTGACAAAGGAAACCTCAGCCAAGAACTCCCCAAATACAAACAGTTTATAAAGTGTCCAACCAGAGAGGGAAACACTTTAAATCACTGCTACACCACAGTTAGCAGTGCCTATCACTCCGTCACTGCACTCCACTGGGACACTCTGATCAAGTGATGGTCCAGACAGATCACAAACTATAAACCCAAAGTCCCCCACTCCATAAACGATTCTCGCCTGGCAAATGAGCTGAACCAGTTCTACTGCCGCTTTGAGAGTTAATCGGACACCATCCCCCGTGACTCCTCCGCTTAGCTTCAGCCTTGGTCCACCACTTCTTCCCCTCCTTCCTCAGAGCTGGCCAGCTCCACACCCTCTCCTCCTCTCTCCATCACAGAGAGGGAAGTCAACGGTCTTTTCAGGAGGCAGAAACCCCGCAAAGCAGCTGGTACTTGTATAGCGCCTTTCTAGTCTTTTCGACCACTCAAAGCGTTTTTACACTACATCTGCATTCACCATTCACACACATTCATTCACCTAGCCTAAGTTCTCAAACAGAAACTAACATTCACACACATTCATACAATGGCGGAACAGCTGCCAGGGGCAATTCGGGGTTCAGTATCTTGCCCAAGGGCACTTCGACATGCAGGGGGAGCTGGGATTGAACCGCCGACCTTCGGCTCTACCTCCTGAGCCACAGCCACCCCAGGCAGACTCCCCATCTATCCTGAAGCACTGTGCTGATCAGCTGTCTCCGGTGTTCACAGACATTTTTAACACCTCACTGGAGTCATGCCATGTGCCAGCCTGCTTCAAAGCCTCCACCATCATCCCTGTCCCCAAAAAACCAAGGACCACAGGACTAAATGACTACAGACCCGTCACCCTGACCTCTGTGGTTATGAAGTCTTTTGAGCGCCTTGTGTTGTCCCACCTAAAATCCATCACTGACCCACTCTTGGACCCCCCGCAGTTCGCCTACAGAGCCAACAGGTCTGTAGATGATGCAGTTAACATGGCCCTTCACTATTTCCTCTAGCACCTGGACTCCCCAGGAACCTACGCCAGGATTCTGTTTGTGGATTTCAGCTCTGCTTTTAACACCATCATCCCGGCCCTGCTGCAGGACAAGCTCTCCCAGCTGAGCGTGCCTGACTCCACCTGCAGGTGGATCCCAGATTTCCTGACGCACAGGAAGCAGCACGTGAAGCTGGGAAAACACGTCTCTGATTCCAGGACCATAAGCACCTGATCCCCTCAAGGCTGTGTTCTTTCCCCCCTTCTCTTCTCCCTGTACACCAACAGCTGCACCTCCAGTCACCAGTCTGTCAATCTCCTGAAGTTTGCGGACGACACCACCCTCATTGGGCTCTTCTCTGATGGGGACGAGTCCGCCTACAGGTGGGAGGTCATCTGGTGACCTGGTGCAGCCAGAACAGTCTGGAGTTCAACGCTCTGAAGACCGTGGATGTGGTCGTGGACTTCAGAAAGAGCCCAGCCCCACCCTCCCCCATCATCCTGTGTGACTCCTCGGTCACCAATGTGGACTCCTTCTGCTTCCTGGGCACCA